AATCCCACCTATCATGGCACAAAAAAATAAAATTGACGTTATTTTAGATGAACAGATTGTGTTGACCAATGATAGAGAGATTCAGTGCTTTTTTGTTCGTTGGATGGATCGATTTAATTCTGACGGTACACGGATTTCCAAAGAGAGACTTCAGCGGCGTGAGCTAAATTCATTGGAGCTTTATAAGAGTCAGCAAAATCCTCATTCGCCAAGGTTATCTTGGTCAGCTCTTTTCACTTCTTTTTCATCAAAATGCAACCTAAACCAAAATATAAGAGTAATGAGTGCATTTTGACATAATATAATCACATGAATGCAATAGTTAAGAGGGGAAAATATGGCATTTTACACTCTTATCAGCTCATATTTTTGCAAGTAATTTGCAATTGGCGTTGTCATCATTGTGGAATTTCGGTATTTGGTTCGTTAGAAAGATCGTCCCCCATGGCTTGACTTGGAGTATTTTGGGTATCAGATCAACTGCAGCCTTCTGTATTTTGTTCACTCGACAGGGTTGAATTTGTGGGGTTTCGGTATTTGGTCCTCAAGAAAGATCGTCCCTCGTGGCATGACTTGGAGCCTTTAGTATCAGATTCATTGCAACTTTTTGATTTATCCACTCGACGGGGTTGAGTTTTTCTCCCACCCTGGGAGAGTTGATGCGGACATCCATTTACTATTTATTTTCTATTTGGATTGTTAGTTATATTATATTTGGATTATTATTTATGTTTCTGTTATTGCGCTTGTATAGTGGGTTGGCCCAAGTCCTTCTCTTTATGGTTTTTGTTTTGCTATTTATTTCTATTTTGTTGCGTATTTGAGACAGTTGATGAATTAATGAAATGGATATGCTTGGCTTTAACGTTTTCCTTCCCTTTCCTCCCTAACTTCTCCTTCTTTTCCTGGTCCCCCCTTGCTGCCGTTTTCCTTTTCTCTTTTCCTTCTTGCTGAGATTCTGCAATTCTTCTTCTTTCCTGCTGTTTTCATTCTTTACTAGAATCCCTCTTTATCCGGCATCACATTCCAATGTTGCTTTGTTGGTTGATGCATGAATTGAGCTAAATGGTTGATAGGGAAGGCAATATCTAGCCAAGTGAGAGAGAGATATTGAAGTCTTCCAATTACTCGACGGAAGTCAGTACCATCGACAGCTGCTGAGCCGTCATTAAGGTGGAGATGGGTGATGGTAGCATCGGGGTACAAATTAGTTTTGCTCTTTCCAAATTTGTTCTGTAAAGGAGATCCTGCACATATTTTTGCTAGCTTAAGAACAACCAATTACTGACAGATAATACCTCAATGCCCAAGAAATAATGTAATTGGCCCAAATCTTTAATCGAAAATTTGGAAACTAAGGATTAAATGATGTACTCATTGAAGTCTATCGAATTACCT